GAATTGGCAGCACTTAACGCGCAAAGCACTCTAAACAAAGCTGGAGTATCGCCATACATTTTTTTCTACCCGAAAAAAACGAAAAAGTTTATTCGATTGCGAGCGGCGCGCGGTGCGTTAAAAAAAAAAAAAAATTAAATTAAATTAAATAAATCATTCCACAACAATAAACAGTGAAAGGTAAATAAAAAAACCGAAAACTGAAAACATTTAATAAACATTAATTGCAAAATCAAAAATTGAACATTGAAAAACACATAAACAGAGAAAACAGTGAAACAAGTAGTGGCGAACAAAAACAAAGTGCTAAGAAGAACATAAATTCGCAAACAAAAAGAAAAAAATTGTTATAGTGGTGCAAAATAACAGCAACCATCTTCCACCGCATCAGCTACCATCGTCCAGCGCAGCAGCCAGCCACCGAAGCACCTGTTGAGACAGCTGTAGCGGAGCACCACCAGCAACCGAAACAACAACAACAACAGGCAGACGGAAACTTGGGCGCAGTAGCGACGGAAGGTACCGCATAGCAGCAGGCCAGTCACCGGTACAGTAGACCACCACACGAAAAAAAAAGAGTTTGTACATAGGAATGCCAAAGTGAGTTACTCAAACATACATACTTACATATCCGCATATTTTTGCAAGGTTTAGCGGATTTTCGTAAAAAATACGGTGAAATGAATTACCCCTTTTTCATTTACCGTAGACAAATACCGTGCACTCTTTAAACACAGTATATTATAAATATATTGTATATCTACATATATATGTAGACATATATTCAAATACATATATCCCGTTTTCTCCAACTCGAAGAAAAAATCCGCTAAACTTAAGGCACAGTAATATACAACATATATACTCCATCACATATTCAAATAATTTACCCCCAACTCACAATACATGCATGATTATTAAATTCAGTGAACGAAACTATTGTTCAAGTGAACGTCCCAAATTTCCGCCTGGGTACATGTACCAAAGAAAAAATTCCCGTTTCGCAACGCCAACTCAGTTTTGAATAATATTTCGTCAGTCAGGGCATTTACCTATATACATATGTACTAATACTGCGCTGTATACATAAATACATACATTAATACATACGTATGCACTCGCGCCAAACTACAACGGTTCTCATAGAGCGAATCTATGTTGATGCATCCAAACATATGTATGTACATACCTAATAATAATCAGTAGAGAAACCCCAAACACATATTCCCTTGCTCTTTGGTTTTAGCATTCTAGATTCTGACACTGACACTGACACTGTATTTGCGTTGGTGCAGTAAAATTCCGATTCCCAAAAACTTAGCAAATAAAATCAAGTTAAAGTGTTTTAAATCAAAATAAAATTTATTAAGCATATCCCAAGTACAAAATTTGAGTTAATCCTCTTAAATAACCTCCATCTCCCAATAAATTTTACGAAAAGCCACAATAAATATAAACTTGAGGAAAAAAAATCTCAAAAACTCAATCTCACTCAATCGATTTATAGCAGCAAAGCTACCTCAATTTCTCCTATAAACTTCCTTCCCCAAAAAATTAAATAATGGCGGAAGAAAAACAGGAAAAACTCACATCCCTCCAGGCACCTCCTCAGGGAGTAAAGACACGGTCAAAATCTCAAACGGACGATGAGGAATTGACCCAAACTCAAAAAAAATTCCTCTTCGAAATCTCAAAGCTGGAAAAATATTGTGCGAAATGGTGGAAGATAAACGAAACGGATCACTCGGAAGCCGGTCTCAAGCTTTATGTGGAGGAACTCACCAAACACCTAGCATGGGTTGAACAGGCATACGAGCTTGTACACATGTGTTGCAGTGATGAAAAGTATAGGAAAGCATACGAAACGAAATATGACGCAGCCATCGATATGTGCCACAATACTAGGACCCGAATAAACCAACTGCTCCCCAGACTTCAACAAAACGCGATTGGCGCAAGCGCAACCACCATTTCAGCAGCCCCAGCCCCACCCCTAACTCAAAACTACTTAAAAGTACCTGCTTGTGACACTGATTTCTTTTATGGCGGCTACGAAGATTGGCCGTCCTTCAGGGACATGTTCACAGCAGTGTACAAACAACACCCCCCAACTCTCTCAAGCCCAAAAACTGTACTACTTAAAGCTAAAAACCCGAGGTAAAGCAGCACTTTTAATAAAAAACTATGAGATGAATGACCAAAACTTTGAGCTCGCATGGGATGCATTAAAATCCCGTTATGAAAATCGCAGACTCCTTGTCGACAACCAACTCAAAACCCTCTTTAATATTCAGCCCATTCAAAGCGAAAATGGGGAAAAAATTCAGGCAATTCAGACAACAATAAACAATTGCCTCTCGACTTTGAAATCAAATGGCGTACCCACAGAAAACTGGGACCCCATATTAATACATCTCTGCTCCTCAAAACTCCCAGATGAAACCCTAGCGTTATGGGAACAGTCACTCGACTCTAGAAAAGAGTTACCCCTCTGGTCAGAAATGAATAAATTTCTGACAACCCGTTATGAAATCGTAGAGAGACTTAGTACGTACAGGCCAAATAAACCCAAGGCCTCAACACCAAATTATACCCCAGGCTCATCAACCCCTAATCATACTCATTCCTTCGGCTATAAAAACAGAACTCACTCATTTAACACTGAGTTAAAAAAACAGGTATCTTGCAAATTATGCAACTCAAATCACTCTCTGATGACCTGTGTCAAATTCAAGGAGCTCTCAGTTCTAGAACGCAATAAGTTCATAAGAGACAACAACTATTGTAAAAACTGTTTGGCCTGTTCTCACTCAGAAACTGAGTGCCACAGCAAGTTTACCTGCGTTTATTGCCAAAAACGGCATCACTCTCTTCTCCATTACCCCGCTAGATCACCAACAGCAAATACAGGCACCAGGTCTAAAACAAATCAGGCACGAGTCCCATCTCCAGGGAATAGCACCCCAAACGAAGCATCAACCTCAAAGGCAGCTCAACAAACTCTCTCACATTTTGCGAGTAGTAGAGAAAAAACCCTACTTCCTACCGCAAAAATCTCAATCCTGCATAATGGAGAAATTTTCAAAATTCGAGCTCTTGTAGATCAAGGATCTCAGAAAACATTCATAGCGTCTCGCATACAAAAACTGCTTGGCCTGCCGACAAAAGCGACTAGTTATGAAATTATGGGAATGGGTGGCCGCGTACTGCAAAATGCGAACAGAATCTGCCCGATTACCATTTGTTCTGCTGATTCAACTATGAAAATAACGACAAACGCGATAATACTCCCGCAACTTACTCATTTCTTGCCATCGTTCAAAGTTACATATATTGAACTGCAAGAATACTCATCCCTCCCCCTAGCAGACCCCCACTGTTTTACTCCAGCTCGAATAGACATGGTATTAGGAAGCGATGTCATTCCCCAAGTGTTACTCCCAGGCCTAAAAACCAATGTCGGTGGAAGTTTGATAGCCCAAAACTCAATATTTGGGTGGATTTTGAGCGGCCCACTGACGGAGCAAGTATCATCATTCTCAACCCAGGTAGTTGAAAGCACAACAAACTCTCTCAATGATCTGCTCAAGAAGTTCTGGGATCAGGAGGAAGTACCAGCAACCCCATCCCTCACTGACGATGATGTATTTTGTGAAGATCTCTATCAAAAGTCCACAACTCGCAGAGATGACGGTCGTTACGTGGTAAAACTTCCGTTTAAAACTACTTTCCCGGACACGATTGCACTCGGACACTCCAAGCCTGCAGCACAACAACAATATCTCAGTATCGATCGATCGCATGAAAGGAAGCCGGAACTGCAACAAACATACTCGAAGGTCCTTGAAGAATACCTCACATTAGGCCACATGGAACCCACATCGTCCCGAGAAATAATACGTGAAGGCAAATATTTTTCATTCTACCTACCCCACCACGCAGTAATAAAGCCACATAGTAAAACTACCAAGGTGCGAGTAGTTTTCAACGCGTCGAAACTTTCGCATTCAGGTACCTCTCTTAATGACATCCTCCACACAGGTCCAATACTCCAAAATGATCTTATGCTCGTTCTACTCAAATGGCGTTTGTACAAATACGTTTTCAATGGCGACATTGAGAAAATGTACCGCCAGATATACATTCACCCAGAGGATCAAGAATTCCAAAGGATACTTTTCCGCAGAACCCCTCAAAGTTCGGTACAAGATTTTAAATTAAAAACTGTTACCTTTGGTGTCAATTGCGCGCCATACCTCGCGATAAGAACGCTTCACCAACTAGCTAAAGACTCAAGCATCAAATACCCAAAAGCCACAGAAATACTGTTAAATGAAATATACGTTGACGATATACTCTCTGGGGGTCACGACCTCGACTCAGCACTTACGTCAATGACCCAGGTAACTGATGCGTTAAAATCAGCAGGGTTTCCATTAAAAAAAATGACTGCGAACCACAAATATCTACTCAAAAATATACCTAAACCAGACCTCTTAGAAACAAACTTTCTTGAATTCCATGATTCCAGTTCAACAAAAACTCTCGGCGTAACATGGAATGCACTCAACGATGAATTCTCATACTCTATTGACCCCCTGCCAGACTCCACAGCAGCCACTAAAAGACAGATTTTGTCCTCCGTGGCGAAACTTTTCGACCCGGCAGGGTGGCTATCGCCAATGATGATCCAGGCGAAAATCTTACTCCAACAACTCTGGATGGAAGGTACTGATTGGGACGAGAACGTCAAACCCGGAGCGCTTCGCAAGTGGACTTCATTTCGAGAAAACCTCATAGCCATCAGCGAAATACGGATACCGCGATGGGTTCAGTTTTCCCCTAATAAAACCATTCAGCTCCATGGATTCTCAGACGCATCCGAAAAAGCATTCTGCGCATGCGTTTATCTCCGAGTGGAACACTGTGAAAACTCGGCATCATCTCATTTGCTCGTAGCAAAAAGTAAAGTCGCACCCCTCCAAACAGTGAGTCTGCCTCGCTTGGAACTGTGTGGAGCGGTCCTTCTCTCCAAACTTGTGAAGCATATTCGATCCCAACTTAATCTGCCGACCCATGAGCTCATACTCTGGTCAGACTCCTCTATCGTGCTGGCCTGGCTAGAAAAACCACCATGGACATGGAAGACATATGTGGCGAACCGAACTTCCCTCATCTTGCAGAATGTCAATAACGCCACATGGAGACACGTATCGAGCTTAGACAATCCCGCAGATTTAGGCACTCGAGGATGCAAGCCACAAGATCTAGCGTCATGTTCCCTATGGTGGAATGGCCCTCAGTGGCTCACCAAACCCTCAGCGAGCTGGCCAAAGAATGCGCCTCAAACGCTCTTTCCCCCTGAACAAAAATCTGTGGAATCTTATCACACAATAGAGAACGAAGACCCTCTCACTCGATTCTCGTCATTTCCTCGCGCCCTTAGGGTAATCGCTTACGTGTATCGGTTCATCCGCAGCGCACGAAAGGAACCAATACCCACGACGCACACACTCACCCAGGACGAAATCAGTTACGTCAAAACCCGGCTCATCATATGCGCCCAACACAATCATTACGCAGAGGCGGTCGCACAACTGGAAGCCGCGAAACCGGTAAATAAAAAAAAGCTCGCTGCTATCGTTGAACCCCATGCTAGATAAAAGTGGCGTAATGCGTGTAAACGGCCGCCTTAAGCACGCCGTTCTCACCTACAATGAACGACACCCCATCATAATACCCGAAAACTCCAAGTTCTTTTCTCTCTTCATAGATTTTCTCCACACAACTCTACTCCACGCGGGAAAACAGCTCATGGTCCGGATGGTACAACAAGAGTATTACGTCCCAAGACTTAAGCAGAAAGTTAAAAAATGCATTTTCCACTGCAAGGTGTGCACCATACACAAGCGAGAAATGCGATCGCAGATAATGGCGGCCTTGCCTCCAGCACGAGCAACCTACTCGCTACCATTTCACACCACGGGAATAGACTTCGCGGGCCCATTCCTGGTGAAAACTTCTTTACTGCGTCGCGCCTCACACACAAAAGCATATGTATGCGTGTTTGTCTGCTTCTCCACCAAAGCCATACATCTAGAACTCTGCTCAGACCTGACAATAGAAGCCTTCAAGGCCTGCTTTGCCAGATTCGTTGGTCGACGTGGTCTCCCCCATAAAATCATGTCGGACAACGGGAAAACTTTCGTAGGCGCTCAAAGGTCAATCCACCGAGAACTTTCCACTTTTCTTAAGGAAGCCGCCTCAGATATCGCTGAAAAATATATCGTTCATGGCCTCTCCTGGCAATTTATACCACCATACGCTCCTCATATGGGAGGCCTGTGGGAAGCAGCGGTTAAAAGTTTTAAGACGCACTTCAACAAAGTCGCGGGGAATCACAAATTCACGTTTGAAGAATTCACCACACTGCTCATACGAATCGAAGCGGTACTCAATTCCAGACCGCTGTCGCCTTTGTCTCAAGATCCTAGCGATTTACAGCCTCTTACTCCCGGTCACTTCTTAAGAGGAGCACCACTTGTCTCTCTGCCAGAACCTAACGCAGAAAACCTGTCTCTTCCAAACAAGTGGCAGAAGCTCAAGGTACTTCACCATCAATTCAGCACCCGATGGAAAACTGAATATTTGCAAGAGCTACACAAACGGCATAAGTGGAAAGGCAAAGAACCCAATATCGCAGTGGAAGACCTCGTCGTCATCAAAGAAGACAACCTCCCACCAAATGATTGGCGCCTCGGACGTATTGTTAAGCTCTATCCCGGTCCCGACCAAAACGTTCGCGTGGCTGACATCCGTACCCAAAAGGGAATTATAACACGCAACATCGCAAAATTATGCTTGTTACCACCTCCACCCAGCACAATGGATGCTTAACGCATCAAACTTTATTCAAAATTCTCTTTTCTTTATACCTCAATATACAGACTCTGTGGTTAACCACAGAACATTTTCACTCCCATTCCCTCCGTATTTACGCAAAAAAAACTAATGTTTGGTTTCAAATTTAATTTCTTCATAGGACAAGTGAAGCATCCATGGAGCTCAGCAAATGTCGCCTTTGTTGCCGCCCCCATTCATTGCGCTACTGTAAAGCTTTTCTCGCCATGACGCCGGCTGAAAGGCATGAGTCAGCCCGAGTACATAAATATTGTGTAAACTGCCTGGCTACCTCCCATGTCACCGGTGCCTGTGACTCTCCAGCCAGCTGTCATCAGTGTGGTAGGGCGCACCACACGCTGCTACATCGAACGCTGGCGAAGTCGTCAACGATCCGACGTAGGGAGAGGACTCGCTATGCTAGCCGTCGGACAATTCGGCGTACTCGAGGTCTGCAAAGTCCCACCGCTGCCCGGAGTCGTAAAATGCGTGAGCTGCTCAATAAAGCGCAAGACATCATCAACCAGCTGAAGGAGCTAGTATCCGCTTCTACGCGGCCGGCCGGGCGTGATGTCGAAGACATGGATGATGATGAATAATTAGCTAACCTTTATCTTA